ATAGGTCGTCTCCGCGTCATCTCCGCGTCATCTCCGCGAGATCGCCCAGATCCTGAACAATCTCTGAGAGGCACAGATCGAGCATGCGCAGTTAAAAGGTATTGCTAGTGCGAAGTGGTGCGAAAAACCTGTTTTGCATGATCAATATTGGGGGAACCGGCGATTCTAGCAAAGTTGGTTGAGGCGGGTCCTCCAGCCCACAGTGACCTCAGCACTGTTCTGCATCTTTTGTCAGAGTTCAGTGCTCGTTCCTATGAACGAACATTGAACATTGAACAACGAACATCGGACAGAACGAAACGGGTGACCCGCCGAGATCCACAACGAAAATGACAGAGCAGGTCGCCTTGCAATCGCGCTCTTCAAAAACGCCGAACACGGGAAAGCATCTTCATGGATTTGCTTACGATAAGTGTTCCCAAGCCGAGTGCAATTACACCCTTTTCGTTTGAATTTAGGGTCAGAGCCTCAGCTTTATCCAAAAGCGGAGACCCACAACGTCGGCTGCTTGGCGATGGATTCAAATAAAACGCCCATAAAGCCGAGGTTTGCAAAGGGAGCCTGAGAACCAGGCCTACAAAGCAAGTTTTGCCCTTCATCGTGTTGGGGTTAGCTTCCATCATGGCCTTATCACGGGTCTAGCCTACCCAGAACACACAAGACCATGCCGACACACACGCAGGCCCATAGATCTCGTTCACCCTCATCTGCCTCAGTGAAATGGGTCTCTGCCAGTGTATGTGAACCTGAGAGGATATGGCACGTGTGTGGAGCACCATGGCGCTAAGAGAAGTGAAAGAAAGTAGGCTCGAGATGACATTTGGCTGGGAAGATGTTCAGCTTGCAGGAAGCTAAGTAGCTTCGTGACCTCTAAGCCCACCAACGCGGTGATCTAATAAGGAAGGAGAGCACTAACGTGTTACGGGCAAAACAAAATTGGGGGAGACAAATACAAGTAGCTTGTGTTACTTAAAAATCTTCCAAAATCTGTGAGCAGGGAGGATTTTGATGCATTTTTACCATATTATTCTTGCCACACAGTTCAAGAACGTAGCTCCGCGAAATAAGTTGAATGGGCTGGACAGAGAGAAATGGCTTAACATCTCTGAAGGTATACAAAACATTGGATTTCTCTTTCATTTTGACACATTTTCTTCAGAAAGTTTGGAGCCGGAGCTCCCCTCCCCCCGGAGACCCCCACTGTAATAGCCTACCATTCTAATTCTTATGTTAATACTTTTTAAGTTTCGAAGACGGCTGCCAACTCCAAAAGCCAAGCTCGAAGGGCTGCCTGACAGCTGTCAGCTGGCCTGCTCGTTTCTGCGACACTGGAAACCCGCCAACTCAGAGCGATGCAGTACAATTATCTAACAGAAAAGCCAAGGCGTCCAATGAGACATCCTGATTTTAACTTGCGGAAAGATCTATGCATTTTGCGAGGCAGAATATACTTGTTCCAGTCGCACGAACAGAGAAATGTGATTTACTGACAATTCCATCTATGTGGTAATTTCAGTTATAAGAACAACACAGATCCCTCCACATTCATCAAAAAACATTTATTTAATTTAAGCATCGGTATACATTAACCACCGGCATTAATATATGTAGGGGCTCAGCGTGACCGACCGCTGTCAGAGGTTATCACGCGAGGTTGTCATGCGTTTTGCTAGTGTACCGTCAGTGAGAGAAGAGTTAAATATCTTGAAAGGGAATATTCTCAGTTTCCACTGACACGATACAAATTAACTGAAATAAAATTTTCTGCATTCGCGGAAAACGATGAAGCATGTCGGCAAGGACATGGGAACCGCGAGAGGAGAGTGAAGAGGAGGCAATTGACGCCAAACTTTGAAATAAATGCAGCACTGGCTCTACAGCGTTGCGTGATCATAAATGTGTTGACCCCTGAAGGCTTCAAGGAACGCTGGATCAAGGATCTGGATCAAGGAAGACTCAAGGATCATAAATGTGTTGACTCCTGAAGGCTTCAAGGAACGCTGGATCAAGGATCTGGATCAAGGAAGACTCAAGGATCATAAATGTGTTGACCCCTGAAGGCTTCAAGGAACGCTCCTGTCTCCTCCCCCCGCGCTTTCAGGGAATTTCATGTCCGTGCACGTCGGTGAAACTGCTGGCTGGCTGACGACTGAACCGGCGTTGTTATCTTTCCGGTGGCTCATTTTTGTGAGCGGCTTGCATGGGGTTTATGGGGTTCGGGGTAGCAGGTTGTATTGCACATAGCTAGCAGTATATCGTCATAGAACAAAGCAAACATGAAGCTTGCTTGTCAGCAAAAAGTTTTGGCTTCATTTTGTTTAGCTTTATTTCGAATAAGACATGAACTGTGGTGACGAACCGCAGCGACGCCACTCCACTGAAGACAGTATTCTGATTTGCACTTTGGAGAATAAAAATCCACAAAACGAAGACCCTTTTCCTTTTTGCATCACGATGCGTTTAATACGCGCCATCCGCGCCATAATAACATCATATCTAAGCAACGACGAAAGTAGCTGGAAATGTGGCATTGCCTAAATTGGCGAGTGAAGCCATTTACGACAAGTTGGCACGCATTTGGCAATGGAGGTGAACATTTCCACTGTAGGCCCTTGATTTTGTATGGGCTGTTCGACAGCAGCAAATGGCAGAGCATTACATTTAGCCATGTTTGTATGAAGTATAAGCAGTGCAGGATTTTCTTATGAAAAACAGTATACCCAGCACATGGCAGTCGATGCCTAGCATCGGCATATATTTTTAGTTCATATTTTGACTGTGATATGCCCACTCGTCTTAGAGTAGTTCGTGCGGAACAGAAAGACATTATTCGTAACGACACGCAATGATTTGTTGTCATTTTCAAGAGGCGCCTCAAAAACTTGTAACAGTAGAGCGGATTCTGAGCTGGTGCGTTCGTGTGGCTCCAAAACTGCATGGCCCCCAAGGTCAGCTGGGAGCGGTTCAGCCCCCAGCCTGGCCCCGAGGCCAGCTGGGGGCGGCTCGGGCCCGCCCCCGCCGGCGCCCTTCCTGGGTGTTCCCTGAGTCTCCCTGTCAGGCCCACGTTCAGGACTGCAGCTGCGGGAGGGGGCGGCTGGCCAGCGGTATCGACGAGCCGCCACCGCCGTCACGCTGGCCCGTCCCAGCGCTCAGCACAGCAGTGTCGGCGAGCCGCCACCGCTGCCGCGCTGGCCCGTCCCAGCGCTCAGCACAGCGGTGTCGGCGAGCCACCACCGCCGTCACGCTGGCCCGTCCCAGCGCACAGCACAGCGCGATGGCGAGGCGCAGAGATCGGGGAAGTGCAAAAATCTAAAGGCTGCCGCAGCCGGGCAGAGTCATTCGCATTCGTTATCCACGAGTGCGGGTTGGCTACATGCGTTCATGGGCCGGAGCGAGCACAACATGGCCAACTCCGGGCTGCACACCGGGCAATCCTGGTCTCAAAGCTGCCAATGTTTTGGCCCGCGTCATATTCAGGACTGGGAGGTCGCGGTGGAGCTGGAGTTGATTAGCTGCAGCCGGAGGAACAGGACGGCTAGGCCGATTAGACTTATTATGCCACGGTCGCCTCCCAACTAGGTAAGAAACGACGCACTGGGCTCGGTTTTAAAGGACATGGCACGCTCAAAGAACGCTCAATAACGTAGCAAGAACCTGAATCAAAAGCTTCGATCAAGCGCGATTGAAATACAGCATTCTGAGTCGAGACGTCTCTCCGTCTCGCCGCCCGTCCCGACATCTGAGATTACCCGCATGCAAGAGGCAGATGACCCAACACTGCGGGGTGTTGCCGTGCTCAGGGCGTTACTGAAGCCAGCGTCAAACAATGCCTTGCCCAGTGGGTCCTGCTTTTGGGCCACGTGCGCTTCTTGTGCTAATCGGTCAGACTGAGACAGCGATCAACGCAAGCTAAAGGGTGGCTCTGAAATCTAGCCTCAGCTGTCCTGTACGCGATCATTCCCATTTCTCGGCGAAGTGCAATTCAACATTGCCGGGGGGTGGAGTAACATACCCCAACGTGTGTGCAGCAAATAAACTTTTGAAGCCAACTGTCGCAATGTATCTAGGCGTCGCCATACATGTCACAAAGCATGCTAAGATGTCACGCGAGTAGAGAACGGGCGGGTCACGGATCACGCTGATCCCGCCCGTCCCCCAAATACAAACGAGAATAAGTAGAACTGAGTTTCATCACCATTCTGATAGAAATGTGCACCTAAAGCGTCACATTTTGGGACCATGATTCCAATTTCAATAGTCTGGGTTTCACGGGAGACAGGAAGAAGTGCAAAGGATTCCCAGGAAACCACAAATGTTCGTTTTGAATGCTGCAAACATGAAAAACGACCGCCTACGTTCACGAACAAAAGTGTACTAGCTCACCTTTACACACATGGGAACGATACATGACAACCGTATTGTGATTCTGAATGCATCATTCTGTTTTAACTATTCACTAACAAACATGCAAAATTGTAAATGGTGAATTAAGTGGACTATTTTCGCAGTTATCCTTGTTGTCTCCTGGGCTTAGCTTGGTACAATACTAGTGCGAGACGTACAATCTCGCCTAGCGGATTTTTCCGTCCTGATTCATCAACAGCTTATTTACATGGGTCACTCACGTAGATGACAGCTGTGGGTTGAAGGCGCTAAGAAATGAACTCCATGACAGCTAACCATATTCCAGACGTTGCAAAGGTCACCTATGCCTTTATGAAACTGCTACCGACGCCTTATAGGCCTGTATTTGGATGTTTGTTATTTTGGCCGTGCCTTCGTTTTCAATGTCTTACAAACAGCCCGTTCGGCCATCTGTCTAGACCCGATTCGCCAATCCTCAGCCCACGACACTTCAAAAGACTCGCACACAGACACAAGAATGCGGGGCCGACGCCGCTGCAACAGCAGCAAAGCCAGAGCCGCGTGCGCTAGACAGCGGCGGGGCCGATCCTGGCTCTGCGGCGGGCCGAAACTCCCGACTCCGCCGCCGCACTCACCCATGCCGGCCAGGGCCGATTCCCCCGCGTAGGAGAAATTCGTCACGAGCTCGTTGGGCGCCTTGTCCTTGAAGGGGGTCATGCCCTGCGGCCCGAGACGCGGTCGTGCCGGTCTCTCACGCTGCGCTGCACGGGGTCACGCGGCGGACGCGTCCCGTCGCCCGCAGTCACGCCGCCGGCTCACACCGCAAATTGGCCGGCCGGCCGGCGGCGCCGGCGCGCGATCAGATGCGGCGAGGCGGCACGCCAATCAGCGGGCGGCGCGCGCGCCGCCCGCCCGCCGATTGGTCGGGCCGCCGCCATGTTTGTTCTGGTCGCGCGGATGATTGGCCAGAGTTATGAGCGTCGGGAGTGGGCGTCTGCGATCGCTGTTTGGCTGATTGAAACGCGTTTGATGTCGCCGCGTCGCCTATTAGCGGCGGAACGGGTTAATGTCGCGCAACAAATAGAGGGGTGACGGCAAATTATTTGTAGCGCAGCTTCCAAGCTCGCCATAAATCTTGTAAAGAATGGGAATGCCACCATAAAGGTACAGATATAGACTACCGCGTCGAAATGACACAGGAATTCTTCGGCACTATGACTCTAAATCAGGGTGACAGTTCCATTTCATGGTAAGTGGAATGATACGATCTTCTCCGGCAAATAAAATGAGTCGCCGAATTCCTTGGGGCATTCATAGTGACACGTCACATACGTCAGGACCCCAGGCACGCGTGCTCTCCAAGCAATGTTACCTGGCGCGTTTACTCTGATGTGAGCGGACATGCATCGTTTAAGTTTCTCGCACGATGCGGAATAGTTGGAACACACAACGGCAGCTTTGTTTGAATGTGCCAGGAGAGCAGCGAATGATGTCATGCTTATTTTCCTCCACTCAGGTCAGAAAAAAATGAGTTAAGCTTTAGGCGGACAAAGCACCGCATTCACTTTACTTCTCTGAACTCATCCTTCGTCTTCAATATAAGCAATATGCACGCACCCCAGGCACTAGGTTTTGGAGTGGGTCTCAATTCGGCTGTTTTCTCGCATCCGAAAGATGGGACCGGAACCAGTGCAGCGGTCGCGCATTCCCCAAACATGCCCAGCCGTTTGATGTGCCCGGTTCACTGGGTATTTATGCGGCTGGTTACCACCACTGCCGCTTCACAGGCTCATTGCAATGGCTTGCGAGTGAAGGCTGCCTTTTTAGTCTTATATGGTTCCAATTAAGCGCTCCTTTTCAGTTGAATCTACTTGCACACGTAAGCTCTGACTAAAATATTGTCTGTCCCCCTATCGATGTGCAGTGCGGAATCCTGAAAGATCACAGGTGTCAAAGTCCTGCACGGTATTTTTACGGGAGCCGTCGCACGAGGCAGGCGGCTGGCAGCTGTGCTGGCAACACCCCTCCCTGGCCGTCTCCGCCCGTCCGCCGGGACCGCGTCACGCCCCGGCTCCCACCGCCTCGGGCCGTGACCCGGGCGTGACCTATGATGCCACATGACCCAGGACGGGCCGGCAGGCGGACCACGGCTGCGCGGCGCCGCGACAGTACGGTGACGCAGTCTTAAAGAATGAAGCGGGCAGCAAGCGCCGATGGCGGACATCCATGCGGGGATAAAGGGAGACTGGCGTCCAGTTTTGTGACAGGGCCAGGTCCATGTCCAGCCAGGTAACATGCATGTAATTACGATTCTGAGCTGCAGCGTTTGGTCGTTTGCTTCGTCTGCCCTCGTGGCAAGAAATATGATACAAGACGAGACGATCCTGGTTTATACTTATGACTGAAACCCGAGTGTTCACCTTCCCTTTGTTAATTACTATACAGCATAGCTGCTCGCTATTTAAATGAGTGGGATAATATATGATAATGAGGTGAATAACCAGCGAAGTAGTGATACGGAACTGTGACCAAAGCCCGTTAACACTCCAACTGGATCCAAATGGACTCTATGTGACTTGCCTAATGTTCAGCCGCTTCACATTTTTAGATCATTTTATCTCGAATAAATCATGCACTCTAGTAGTTTTCTAGATATGACCAGTGGTCACCTCCAGACCGTCGGGGCTAGATGCTGGTGGGCCGTCACATTACATGACATCAGACGCGAGAGGCAGTGAAGAACATCCCAGGCGTGTAGGGTCATGACTGCCGGTAGTCCACGGGACACTTGGGTCACGCTGTCCCTCAAGGTCACATTATGTGACATCAGACGCGAGAGGCAGTGAAGGACTTCCCAGGCGTGTAGGGTTATGACTCCCAGTAGTCCACAGTAGACTCCCAGTAGTCCAGTAGGTTATGACTCCGGGACACTTCGGCCATACTGTCCCGCAAGGTCGGAAGGGCGGGCATGGAATGTTCATACGATGTGGGCCAGAATGATGACCACCCGGGCCTTGTTTGACTCGGAGACCCTGGACGTCTCCGGTCCCCTGGGTCATGGTGGGTTCCCAAAACAGCACCCGAGACCCTGATCGTCCGAGCGGTCACCCGCGTACCCTGGGCGTGTGAATCTGCTGGAAGCACGTCCCAGGTTCCGTGTATTCCGAAGGGGAGAGATTTCCAGGGTGCCTCGGAATCCAAACTGTGTCGGAGGTTCGGAGCTAGTTGGCCTTTGCCCACTTTGGAAACGGAGACCATGCAGGAAGTGCCATCGTCTCCCTCTTCAGGGGCATCACAAGGGGCTTTGAACAGGGGCCTAAAACTAAGCAGCGAGCGATGGTCGGCGATGGTCAGCGATGGTCAGCGATGGTCAGCGATTGTCAGCGGTGGTCAGCGATTGTCAGCGATGGTCAGCGATGGTCAGCGATGGTCAGCGATGGTCAGCGATGGTCAGCGATGGTCAGCGATGGTCAGCCGCAATCAAATCAAAGCTCAACGAGTTTCGAACGTGACAGCCTCTCTCTGTGTCGCAGTAGGGTCAATGGACACTTCTACCAATATTGGAGACGGTGGTTTATAGCGTATCGCTGTTTGCACCTATTCCCAGCATAAATATAGAACATTCTTGGTATACGACCAGCGCTACGGATGTCAGCTTTGCCTCGGCCAGCGCCGACCGCACCGCCGTCCCGGAGCGGCGAAATCAAGGTCGGGGCGGGCGCACGTCTTTCAGCTGGTATATATCATATCGAACTTTGTGATCACAGCCGCATGTATCGCTCTGGCGTTTCGTCATGTTTCGCGGTCACGGGTATCTGTCGTGTATCGTTGCATTCCAGCCCACCCAGCGTCGAGAGAGGCGCAGACATCTGCCACGTGATCGTTTGCTCTATAAGCGCTGCGTCCGGCTCGGTCCCGTGCGACGCTGCATGAGGCCGTCCCTCCGGAGCAACACGGAATCTGCTCCGGTCTGGAGCGACGCTGCATGAGGCCGGCACCTCAGGAGCAACACGGAATCTGCTCCAATCTGGAACGGCGCTGCATGAGGTCACTCTTCAGGAGCAAGACGGAATCTGCTCCGGTCTGAAGCGGCGCTGCATGAGGCCGGCCCCTCAGGAGCAACACGGAATCTGCTCCGGTCTGGAGCGGCGCTGCATGAGGCTGTCCCCTCAGGAACAACACGGAATCTGCTCCGGTCTGGAGCGGCGCTGCATGAGGCCATCCCCTCAGGAGCAACACGGAATCTGCTCCGGTCTGGAGCGGCGCTGCATGAGGCCGTCCCCTCAGGAGCAACACGGAATCTGCTCCGGTCCGGAGCGGCGCTGCATGAGGCTGTCCCCTCAGGAACAACACGGAATCTGCTCCGGTCTGGAGCGGCGCTGCATGAGGCCGTTCCCTCAGGAGCAACACGGAATCTGCTCCGGTCTGGAGCAACGCTGCATGAGGTCACTCTTCAGGAGCAAGACGGAATCTGCTCCGGTCTGGAGCGGCGCTGCATGAGACCGCCCTCTCAAGAGCAAGACGGAATCTGCTCCGGTCTGGAGCGGCGCTGCATGAGGCCGTCCCTCAGGAGCAACACGGAATTTGATCCGGTTCGGAGCGGCGCTGCATGAGGCCGTCCCCTCAGGAACAACACGGAATCTGCTCCGGTTCGGAGCGGCGCTGCATGAGGCCGGCCCCTCAGGAACAACACGGAATCTGCTCCGGTCTGGAGCAGCGCTGCATGAGGCCATCCGCTCAGGAGCAGCACGAAATCTGCTTCGGTCTGGAGCGGTGCTGCATGAGGCCGTCCCCTCCGGAGCAACACGAAATCTGCTCCGGTCTGGAACGGCGCTGCATGGGGCCACTCTTCAGGAGCAAGACGGAAATTGCTCCGGTCCGGCTCGGCTCTGTAAGCGCCCCGCGGGGTGCAGTCGTGCGCGCCGCGTTTGTCATGCGTGAAGGATGAGAGCCAGGCGAGCAGTAACCAGCCGTCCAGTCACTGCAGTAAGGGTCAGAGTCACCTTAAAATCGCTCTAACCCAAACCAGACAGCTTCGGGCACGCCTCCTTGGAATAGCGTTATGCTCGTTAAGTGCCGGCCAGCGGGGCTTTTGCTGATAGAAGTGCAACATGTTTAACGGTTCACCAGAATTATCACATCAGAATGCTGTTTATTCCGTCTAGTTATCACAACTATGAAAATTTTGATGAATTTGAAAATTTTGGTGGTGCGCACTTGCCTGAGTTTACGCATGTGATGTGAACCTGCCTGAAGGCCTTAAATGGAGCATGCCCGCTTCTGTACTTTTCGCTTATTGTTAAACCAGACCCGTCCGATTTAACTGGCAATACCGGTTTTCACAAAATTTGTATGAATAGCTCAGAATTTCGATTTGAAGTAGTCGGCTTTGCAGAAGAAATCTTCTTGTACTCTTTGCTGACCGCCATGAAAGCAATACATTTCAGTTGCCTTACTTTTTCTAACGCGCGTGTTGTGTAATGTTTGCAACACACTAATTTGACGAAATGCTTGTACAATAAATGCTACGAGAGCTGGAAATACTCGTTTTAGGGAAAAATAGATGCAAGCATTAGTTTACTATCCCGGCATTTCAACAAGACTTTACACTATGGCCTTACTCCCTATGGTGCCTAGCATAGTGGCTCTTTTCGCAGCGCACTTCGGCTTCGTAAAACGGAGCATCACATGGTCTCTAGTCAAGTGCTGGTTCAAACTTCAACCAATGCGCTTCTCAGTAACTGGCCCTTGCCGCCCGCTGTGCCAATCCAAACGTTCATCTGCAATGACATCATTCATACCAGTGGAGGTAC